AATTCCAAATTTCACCTGTAGTATTTCAATAGAGCACGTGAAGAAAATGCAAGAGATCAACATCAATATCATTTTAGTACTCAACTCAAAGCACTAAATTTTTCTAAGTCAAGAACAAAGGAAGAATCAAGAAAAAAATCCATCTCTTTTGAAAACTAGGGTTTTATATCAAGAAAATGAGATTTCATGGGTATTCAATCCTAACTTGTGTAAAACATGGTAATAATTGCAAGAAGACCAAGGAAAGATGATTTCATAACATATATATAAGATTTAAAGTCAAAAGAATACATACAATTAAGCCCTAGCATCAATGGACAAGAATGGAAGAAAACCCCCTACCTTTGATGTTCTTGGAGAAGGTAGGTTTGATTTTTAATCCCCTTTAGAACTCTTGTTCTCCCCTTTTTTCTTTCTCTCTAAGTCTTTCTATTAGGGTTCTAAGAGGTGTGGAGTAAGAGTGGTGTGATAGAATAGGAGTAAATGTAGTGAAAATAGGGTTTTAAAAGCTGAAAATCCCGACTTTTTAACTATCTACCAGTAGTTTGTATCGAGCTACCAGTAGTTCGGATACACTGGCAATCTGCTACCTGTTGAGCTACCGGTAGTTCGAAACTACTGGACATTTACTACCTGTTGAGCTACCGGTAGTTCGGATCCACACTCAACTTACTACCTGTTGAGCTATCGGTAGTTCGGATCCATTGGACAGCTTACTACCGGTAGGTCCTGTCCAAATTTGTCTATTTCTTCTATTTTTCATTTCAAACCCATTCCAAACCCTTCCAAATCCAACCCAAGCTTATTCAACATGTTTTTGTACATCAAACCTAGTTGGTACAAGTTCTATTATAATGATATCATACATTTGCAAGCTAAACTAAGTTTTAACTACTATTTCCTCGAATTTCCATATTAACATTTCCAAAAGAAATAATAACTTGCTACATAAACCTACATACATATATAATGATAAAAGGGTGGGGTTTACAGCTATTGTGAAGAATAATAATCAAGTTGCCATGTTCTTCACTTTAGTTGATAATGTGGTTAATGGGTTGGAGCCTCATGCAAACAACGAGATATTCTTTAGGAGAAACACGCTACTAAAGTTATCGAAGTACTTAATAATGGAGAGCTTCTAAGTGGGTAAGCCTTAAATAAAGAGACTAGTCTTAAACGTTCTTGTGATACATGTTGGGGTTCCTACTATAGTACTCTGATTAGCTTGATTAATATGTTCTCATCGGTGATTGATGTGCTTGATATAATTTCAAAGGATGGTTTAAATATAGAATAAAGAGGGGGAAGTAAATGTTCTTTTGGACTTGTTAAAATCTTTTGAATTTTTATTCAATCTTCATTTGATGAGAAGTATATTGAGAATCACATATGAATGGTCTCAAGCATTACAAAGGGAAGATCAACATATCGTAAATGACATGAAGTTAGTTGAAGTGTCCAAGCAAAGACTCCAAATGATGAGGGATACTGAGTGGAGTTCTTTACTTGATGTTGTTTCTTCTTTTTATGACAAACATGATATAATTATTCCAAATATGGATGATAAATTTCAATCTCGAGTGTGGTCAAGACATATTCAACAATGACAAACTCACATTACTATCGTGCCGAGCTATTTTATGTTGTTATTGATATGCAACTTAAAGAGCTAAATGATTGTTTCACTGAATTGAATACTGAGTTGCTTCTTTGTGTGGCATATCTAAGTCCATCTAATTCATTTGTTGCTTTTGACAAGAAGAAATTGATTTGTCTTGCTGAATTTATCCAAATGAATTTTATTTAGTAGAGCTCATAAGACTTTTTGATCAGCTTGGGAGTTATATTGTTGATTTGCGCTCTAACATTGAGTTCACAAACCTACCAGGGATTGGTGATCTAGCTATAAAATTGATTGAAACAAAAAAAAGACATAATATATCCACTAGTTTACTTACTTATGACTTTGGCATTGATATTACCAATTGCAAGTGCCAATGTTGAGAGAGCATTTTCAACCATAAGGATTGTGAAGACTAAGTTGCATAATCGAATGGGTGATTAATGGATGACAGATATTTTGATTACTTATATAGAGAAAGACATTTTGGATAGCATTGATAATTAAGGTGTCATGGAGCACTTTTGAAGTATGAAAACTTATGGGGATCAATTGTAAATGGTAAAATCAGCCTCATTTTTGTAAAGTATTATAATCAACCTCTTTTAGTTATTTTTTATTTGTATGGAATATATATAATGAATTAAGACCCTTTTATGTTTAATGAATTATGAAGTATCAAATACAATGTAGAAAATATAAATATATCACATTACTTTCTCTATTAGAGGATAAAGTAAATTTTGTAGTTAAAGTGTGTCCACCCTGGATTATATTCCTGGCTTTGCTACTGATTATTGAAATGATGAATTGTGGGAAGAGGTATTGATTCTTAGAATATGATTGTGAATTTCGCTATAAAATGGTAGAAATTGTATTTTTGATGTGTGTGTGAGTTATTTTTAAAATGGGTCATGTTGAAAATAGAAATAAAACTATGTATTTTTTAAAAAGTGTTGAAGTTGTGGTTGGATTTGGGAATAGATAGACAAAGGGTTAGTAGACAGTTAGGGCCCTTGAAGGGAGTTGCCAAGATAGCTACTAGTCTTGGGGTATTGGTGATGGTAGTAATTTTCGGTGATAGCTTATGTGACATCACAAGTTGTACCCTACACGTCCCTCCTTAAAAGTAAGAAGGGCAATGAGACCCTATGATGCAGGACCCAAAAAATTTGTCAAGGATGGCTCATTCGTGAACTAATGTTAGTTTGATGATATTTGTCTATATGGGTAACATACACAAATTTTGGGTGCCTAAAAACCTATATGCCAATATTCCAACAAACCGCTTGAGTGGGGTGAGGGTGAGGCGAAAGTACATGGAGTTAATATTTTTGAAAAATAACCCAAAAAAAATAAGTGTATGAACTTATGTTCAAAACAAGAAATGATGACTTTACCACATTTATTATCTATATACTTGCATAAAGATTTTTCACTCTGTGCTTTATTAAATCAATGGTGTTACTTTAAGATTTAAGAAGAAATATTTTATAATGTAACCTTGAGATTTAGGTTCGATATGAAAAATTCCTTGATGTTTGACTTACGGATTTCAAATGATAGTACATAGGGTGTGTTTGTCTGGGGGATAAGTGGAGTATAAGGAGGTGGGATAATGTTTATTAATACATGGGTCTCACTTATACTTTGTTCGTTAACCATTTTTAGCAACGTGCTAATTTTTGGATCTTAATATCTACCCGGTATGAACAATGGTGCTAAACCCATCTACATGGGTATATTTGATACCAGTTGGGAGATGATATTAAAAGGCGAGAAAAGGTGCACCAACGGTATAAGGCATCATAATTGCTATACTACCTCTTCCCAAGGAATGGAATGAATGATATTAGGGGTAAACATGTCTATTTTTTATATGCGATGTGACAGAATATATATTTTTTGGTGAGTCTCACAATAAAATATATTGTTCAAACAATCATGGGATGTGATTGCATTCATTTTTATCATTGGTATTAACTTCTTTCAGTATTGGAAGTGTATGGAATACATTAGTCATTCCCATGAATACCAATCCCCCAAACAAACACATCCATAATGTACTTTCAAAAATACCTATTACTTATCGTGTACCTAGACTTAATGATGAATTATTTCAGTACTTATTATTATGATTGTGAACTGGTGGCATTTAAAACTTTGTATATGCTTGAAAAAATGATTATTCTACTGGGTTGTGGTTACTCATCCCCTATTAACATTTTCAAAGACTAGCGTGCATCCTAGAACTTAGTTGAAAAAGACTTGTGCGAGCTTTAGGTTATGAGGGACACCTTTAGAAAATTTTTGTATTTACTCTTAGAACATTGTATAGAAATGTGATTGCATACAAACTTTTATTTGAAATATATTTTGAGGAGCTTGTGATGCAAACTTAATTACCTCATGAGAGGTTAGTCTTTTGGGTATTGTAATATAAAGTTATGGTTTTAGTGTTAAGTTTTGGTAGATGAAACTTATGTAGAAATACTAGGTTTTGGGCGGACTTTGTGGGTCTCCATTTGTCACTCCAACTTTATATTGAATTATGTTGTGATCAATGAATGATGCAGATCTTTGTTAGTTGTTTATGGTTCGTATGAAGTGGACAACTAGTTGGTTATACTTTATTATATATAATGCTCTCATAAGTCGTTCTTGCCAATGTTTGGAATGCTTGATTTTCAAACAAAACTTTGCTGAATTTTTTAAAAGCAAATCTGTTTCATTAAAATTAAATGAATTTTTGTGTTCAATCTAATTGTAAACTAACAAGAATTTTTTATACAAGTTATGTTTTATTTAACTCACATTTTTGTGAAATTCGGGGCGTGACGGTACTTACTTTGAAGGCTTCACCAGCAAAGTGGATCCAAAATCTCTATCCCAAAAAAAGGCTTTTACAGATCTTGCCTTTACTAATAGGGGCTAATCTATGGTCGAACACTCTATCTCATCTGGGATCACTTTACATGCAGGAATTTGCAGTGGAACAATTGTATGCTCCTTAAAAGGAGTTGAGTCTGAACTCACTCCAACAACATGAAGAGCAGCGTCCCAGTCTTCCTTGAATGACTTCTTCTTCACCTCCACAAACACAGAAACCTATGTCCTCTTGGCACTTGGCAACATCTTTTTCTTGTATTTCGTCCTCTTGTTTGGAGGCCATTTCCAGAGAATCCCTGAGTCTACTCGCTTCCTCGATCAGCAGAATACAAATTTTCTCGGCTTTGGAGAGCTTGTTCTTAACAACAGGCACCTTCAGCTATGCCTCGGTCATCCTCCATTCAGCCTCAGCAACAGAACCCTTACTTTTCTTCAAGCTTGTCGAGAACTCATTCATCTTGCCTGACAATTGCTAGACCTAAGCCACCTAATTGGCTACAAACTTCTCCTTGGCCTGCAGATCCTTCTTGAGGTCGTCAATGTTCCCCTGGGCCTTCTCATTCGAGAGCTAGTATGCCTAAAAGCAATCGGCAATGACTGACAATTTTTGAGAAATCTACATTGAAAGTATTATTAGGTTCAAGGCAAAAAGGATAGAAGAGAAAGGGAAATCAGACAAGTACAACCAATGCATTTTGGATCACCCCTTGGAGGGGCCCATTGTCAAAGAGATCTCGGTGTTGTTCCATGTTAGCCACAAACTGAAAGACCTCACTAATGGCATAAGCCACATCAAGCGACGAAGAGATGGAATCCATAGTCAGGACATCATTATCTTTCCTAGTAGTGATTCAGGGGTGCTACTCCAAAGTTTCGAATGAAGTCACTAGGGGCAGATGGCCAACCGCAGAGGGTTAGTTCTGGGAGCTTAAAGTAGTTGTTGTTGCCAAATGCCAAGTCGTGCTTTGACTTTACTCGTCACTCATTCTCAAGCCTAGTCTCCCAATCCCTATTGATACCCCGAGGAACGTTCAATTCAATCGGAGGAATCAAGGGAAGAGGTGGCAAAAGCTTGTTCCTGCATGATGGGGCTAGGGCCAGAGGCGTGGTTATAAGTAAGGCCACTATCAAACGAGAGGAGGTCCCTAGACCCAAACGTTTGGAAGCTACGAGTGCCTACAGGCTATCAAGTGTAATCCATGGGCACTTTGACATGGGTTGGGACAGACCGTCAGATTTGTTCACGTTGAGGAGAACATCAAAATCAGGCCAAGCACTCCCAAGGTTGGCATGCTCAGGCTCATGATTAAGATCAAGATCCTCAATTCCAGTCAAACCCTCAAAATGCTCGGTGGTCCGATCAAGGTCTTCTTCCAAGTTCAGTTTCGGGTTATCTTCTTCTTCAGAATGTCATGCCAAAGGATAGGAACCAGAAAGGACTTAGAAGTACTTCTTATATCCGGGCGTGTATTTGAGCAAGACCATAAGCCGCCTTACCGAGCTCGTCAGAACTGAGGTATCCCCACACCTTGAGGATATCGTCAAAGGCAATGTCACTATGAAAGGGGGACACAGTCTTTTCTCAGGTCACCTTTGCAAGAACAAGAAGCAAAGTCGATTAATGAAAGGAGTAAATAGGGGCTGTGTCTAAAGGATAGTCAAGTAGAGGCCGAATTATTTGTTTCCCTCCAAAGTTTAGGGCAAGATAAGCTGAGGTACTCAGGACTCATGCCTCTCTCCCATGGGCCGCCCACCATTGGAATATCTTGGGTATACCTTTTGTTAGAATAGAGCAAATGGGAGACTAGATACATCAACGGATCTTGGGCTTTGAGGTAACAATTCTTGGATAGCATTCGAACGAGCTTGTAGCAGAAAAGGATCTTATCAAGCCCTATGTTGGTGTTAAGAAAAGAGTTTTGGGCCGCTATCCCCAAAATGATCATAATTGTGTTCAGGCAACATTGCTCGAGGAAATAGTCGAAAGTGTATCTAAAACCAAATGAGCAAAGGGTGAAGGGGGAACTTGATTCCACCCTCCATGATACTCTTGCTATAGAAGGGCATTACTTCAAGAGTCTTGCTGATAGCATTATGTTCATCGGGTTCGAATACCGATGTTTGAACGTCATAAGGAATCCAATACCTAGACCTAAAATTGGCAATTAATTGTTGAGTGCCCACAGATATTTTCCTAGGCCTAGACTCACCACTGGGTTTCGACGATGACCCAGGGTGACTAGTTTTATGGATTCTAGCCATGGGGTTGTTAGAAAGAAAAAGAAAAAATAGGCAGGGGTAACTTACAGGGTTTTGTCGTTCAACCTTTGTCTTTATTTTTGGGAGAATTAGGAGTTTTCTCATGCGAGGGGTGCTTGAAGATGAAGAAAAGCGCCTATGAATGTGGGTTTCAGGTACTTATACTAATACTAAGACCATCATAACCACGGTAATCAAAGGGACTTTCATCGAATGCGACGTTTGAATTTTAAGCGGCAAAGGCAATGAAACAATTCTCAAGAAACAGTCCTATTGAGGAAGCCTTATGTCCTCACACGACATGTGTCCCTCGTCGTACAAGAACAAAAGTCAAGGACAATTGACGGGAGGTAGTTGACAAATCAACGAGAGACCAACACACGGACAAAAATGAACACCAAAAGTGAATGCTATGAGGTCTTATTTTGGGGAGAAGCAGTTGAATCGTCGGCCAATATTAATGTTCGGGGGTCGAGAATTAATAACGACCAAACATATGGATATGATGATATAACTTGACATGATTGAAGTGACATGAAAAAATAACGTTCTAAGGAATGATGGCAACATACTCTTGATACACAAGAGGCATGTTGAGAGACATGCACAAAATTACCAAACTTAGGTACTCGAACCAATCATATGATGTCTCGATGGAGGTGCACATTATTGTTCGGGCCCAAAGATATCTCCAAACAACAAGGGATTCAGATTAATCAATCAGACTCATTTGACAAAAAAACAATGATTTAATGCTCGACGCTAAGCATGAATGGCTTAGCAAATAATGGCTCAGCTTACCTTCCCCGAGAAACTATAAGTGTGCAGCTCAAGACACAATAATGGCGCAACTTAAGCTGAAGGGTAATTGACCTGCTGTAAATGAGAGCCAACTTCCTATCACCTTGGGGTACGAACAAATTAGAAAATTCATCCTCTGACACACTACAGGACATCCAGCTTGTCTAACGGTCTTGTTCCGAGCAAGAGGCACACCCTCTGGGGTTGTTTAGTACGTGGGTTTAGGAAAATTTGAAAACATAGATTGAAGAGTAAATCCCGTTAAACTCATGTTTGACAACCATGAAGTATGAATAAGACTTCAAACTCGGCCCGGTCATAAACTCACATACTTGAATTTCATGAAACTCAAGGGAGTTTGGTTTCATTTAAGAGTTTGGAGGTTTAACATGTAAATGATATTTATACCCCTATATACCTCATATATACAAATTGGTTAAGGGATACAATAATCATTTAAATATAAATATATTATCTTAATAATCATATATCTCTGTGCATATTACCTATCAAACATGAGAATGAACAACATTAAATGTTAAATCCCATCTTGGAGTCAAACCCGAAGTTGGACAATCCAATCCAAACTCCTCCCAAAAAGTATACCAAACAGCCCTTTGGGTTTAAATACTACCCTTCGCTTAAAATCAAAGGTATGCAACGCTTAGCCACATCAGAATTCTCATTATCTCTCCATTCATTCACAGGACTGACTTAATCGTCCCAGGTGATTTGCCTGATACACATCTGTAACCCTTCTAATTTTTTTTCTGTTGCAACTTCGATCTTCCCTCCTCCAGTGGGGAACTCATCGTTCCCATCAATACCGCCACCACCTCTCTGTATTGCCAGAGATTTGCCCGTGCAATCCACTACATCACATTGTAAGTGAAGAGAATCATAAGCAAAATTGAGGACCAAAGCAAACAATGGGAAGCAAAGTGCATCATAGCCATAAAGATACCAATAATCCAACTTCAAATGACCAAAAAAATCCTCCAACCACCAAAGTTTACACCAAAGAATTTTAGGGGGAACTCAACAGTTATGCGCCATGACATATTCCTGTAATTCCTTCCCCTCACATAAAAACTCATTCCTGTTCACCAAGACGACACTACACTGAAATTAACACCAATAGGTCCTAATTGTATTCCAAAATGCAGAAATAAAATCACTGGGAAACACCAAGCCACTTTGTGAAGTTCTCAAACTCAGTATAATCACTATCGGAAATCATTGTCTGATACCAACTCTTGCCTGCAGCCTTGATTGCAGTGGCGTCCTCCTGTCGAATATGAAAGGGTTAAGAAAAGGTAACAAAAATAGTCAGGTAAAAAAATTCCAGTTCGCATATAAATGAAACGACATTCAATTGTTACATAGAGATTGATATTCATGCACACCTGCCACCAAATAAAAATAGTTAATGCAAATGCCTATTTATCCGACAAACATGAGTAAAAAACACAACAGTTGAGTATAATATTTGTTGCAAAAAGAGCATGTCAGAATAATCACTACAAGCTTTTAGGCTTCATGAAAATGTTAGATTCATGAAGTTAACAAAATAAAAACCATCTTGTTATACATACCTCAAACCATATTTTAGAACAGCAATGGAAAGCTTTGAGAACCACATTTTGAAAACAGGAAAATAACATAAAGAGGTAAAGGAATCCTAACACAAAAAAAAAAAAAAAAAAAATGCAATCTGCTTAAGAAAGCAACAGCACCAAGAACACTTAATGATATAAGAAGGAACTCAACATAGGCAACCATTCCCTAATTT